CGACAGCGCCGCGGGAAGAGGCGCCGCGCCGCGGTGCGCGAACGCGGACGGGATGAATGGCGACAGGGCGGCTGCACGGGGCCTACGGCGCGCGGACCGCATGCAAGGCCGCGGAGGCGCGCGTGCATTGTGGGTTTGGTTGCCCAGCTTGCAAGGGCGGCCGACGCTACGTCACACGACTGGCGTCAGGGGCTCGCGCGTGGGTGGGACATGATGCAGTAGGGGCGCGGCGGGCTGGGGCAAGGGCGTGCGTACTGTACACCGGGGACGGTATTTAGTGTCAGCGCTAAATTAGTGTCACCACGTAAATAGTGTCACTGACACTAATACATGTCAGAGCCCGGGACGACGACGGATCAATCCAGACATAGAACAATCCTTCCTTTGAGCCGGACCCATCTCACTGCCGGTCCGGAGGGATGGTATTGGTATGCGATTCGTTCGGTTCGTTTCGGGAGCACTAATTTGTGCGCGGGAGTGGAGATACGCAGGCATTCATTACTGAAAAGCGTTTTGTACTAAGAACAGGTCAACTGGTCGGTCTTTGGTCTGGTGTATAGGAAAAGGTTGGGCGATGCAGAGTTGTAACAAGGGGCATCTGCGATAAGGAAAGAGGAGGGGGGGCCAGCGTCAGGACTTATGATTAGAGGCAGGCATGTGAGGTTTTGGTAGGACGAAAAGAAATGCTGTAGGCTCTAATGGGATCGAACTTACACTATTCATTAGAGCCAAACCGCGAGTGATGATGAAATGCGCAAAAACAAATAACAATAATACTATCTGTCAGTAGATGCGCACGTACAGTAGAAAACCAGTTCGCGCGCACCAAATTCATATCTACACAGTAAAATCGTAATTCACTAGGAAATGCACAGTACAGCACCTTCACCGCATTTACTGATAAAAATCAAAGAGAACACAATGCATTACCCGTACAGTAGAGCCAAACCGCGAGTGATGATGAAATGCGCAAAAACAAATAAAAATAATACTATCTGTCAGTAGATGCGCACGTACAGTAGAAAACCAGTTCGCGCGCACCAAATTCATACAGAGTAAAGTCCCTCTCGACTGACGGCCTCAAGTAATGACAGTCCCTGTTCTTGTGACAGATATGCCGTCTCAAGGCGAACCCCCTCCTCATATGGCCCCCTAATGGCCGATTCTCCCCAGAATAATGACACGCTCGCCTACAGTGACAAACTCTGTATAGTGAAAAATATATTAGACTTGTAACTGTTCATGTGATAGATTTTTCTTTATTTTTGAGACTCTTTGCGCGAAAAGTATTGGGTGATTATTTCTGGCGTGAGTTTCGGCTCCTGTACAGTCCAGTTTGGGCAAGTTCAACCCTGAGAAGCTGCAGCATCTCCCGAGACAAGAGCTGTTAATCGCTGGATGGCTCTCAGCGAGCAGCACCTCAGTCTCACAAATAAGAGAACGTGCTGATGCTTGCCAACGATCCACAGAGCCTTTCGGGGGTGCCTAAATGGCATCGGCATCCTCATCCTCCGCTCCCTCGGCAGAATTATCACTCTCCAACACACACAAGACCACATCGTGAATAGAATTACCCTCAATCGGATGGCTTGTATCCTCCTCTTGTTCCGCATTAAAAAATGAACTGAGTTCAGAAACGTCTAAATTATCAATAACGGAGCAATTCTCGAGTCCCCTGAGATCATCACCCCAGTGCTCCATAACACCATCGAGCCATTCACGTTGCGTTATGTTATGGTTTGTACAGTCAACATCACTTTGTACAGTAGTGTTCTCAAGATATTTAAGATAGTCAGCGCCCTGACGCTTTGCTTCCGGTGACCGATGCTCAGATATTTTGTTCTGTATTTGTAACGGTGTTCCACTGTGTGGCAGCTTGGCACTCTTCCCACAATCTGTGGCAGATAATAAAGCAGCACGGAGCTCTCTGTCTTGATAAGGTGCCAGTATGTCACAACTCAGCCAACCATTAATAACCACCTTTGTCGGCACGAGGTTCCACGCTGTTGCTATCATACACACGGCATCATAAATCGTCACAGCTTTTGACAGCTTAAATGACTCTCGACACTAAGGGGGTTTCGCCATCTGTACATTGACATACTCCAGTACGTGATTAACCAACAACCTCCTAAATGCCGCTTTAAAAGATCTTCCAATGGAGGCGTCTACAAACTGTACCACAGATGTGAGGTTGGGTGGCAGAAACTGGGTCTCCACATTTTTAAAGCTGCTGTAATCAATAGCATGCGCCGAGCAGTTGTCCAGCAGATGTAAAACTTTTCGACCTTGAGTGGCAGCTGCTTTATCTAGTGCAGTGACCTGTTTCTCCCAAAGATATTGTGTATTCCAAGCATGACCTTGACTATAATAGTATATTCCCAAATCTCGGGTTGGGTCGAAACGCTTAGGAAATGATTTAGGCCTCTTTGACTTTCCTATTATAACCAAAAGTGCTTTAACTCCATCTGCAAATACAGTGAGAACAGCTGTGAGCCTATCCTTGATTCTTGTGTAGGAGGACGCTCGATCTGTAGTACCCACTGTACGTGAAGGGAATGAGCGATACAGTACAGCTACCTTATCTGTATTCATGGGGTCTGTCGGGCTTGTTGTGCAAACTAATCGGCGCAACCTTGATCTGGCATCCTCTACGAATTTGGCCTCATGCATGCCGTTCTGTCCTCGAGGTTTAAAACTTGCCAGGTGGTTCCAATCCATAAAGTTATGAAACCAATGCTTGCTACCTTTAAATGCTTTCAAAGAGAACATTCTATCCTCCAAAAGAGCTCTTTCTGGTTGGCTCTCGTTAGTTACCAATTTGGTTTCCAATTTAGTTACCATCTCGTCTCGGATCTCGAAAGCAATCTTTCGTATGACATCTTTTCTAAAGATACACTCACCTCGTAAGTAGTTAATCCTGCTTCGGATGTAAGTATTCACTGCTTGATCTAGTTCTGGGTGGTCGCATTTTCTAATTGTTTTCCGTTTCTTGTTGCTTTTTAGTGACTCATCAGTATGCATAATGGCAGGGGCGTTTCTTTTCCAGTTGTAGACAGCAGCCCTTTGGACGTGCAGAAATTCTGCTATTGACTTCACGGTATATGGCTGTTGGTTTTTTGGGTTGAGGTAAGGTCGTCCGAAGGTTCCATCGTCACGTGCGCCGAGGAGGCGCAAGGCCTCCTTCTTCGTGGTAAGGAGAGTGTGACTTCGCTTTCTGGCTTGATTCGTTGGTTCTGCCATCGACATCATACCAGAGGGGGCCTGATTTGAGGGGTTTAGAGGGGATGGGGGCGTGACGGAACAAGAAGGAAGGTCTCGCGACTCGAAGGGCACCTCGCAAAGAACTTTGCGCTGGTGAGGTGTTTACGTTGCATGTTGGTATATTGCGACACAATCGATGTATCGTTTGGGGATGGAGTCAGGTACAGCGTGCATGAACTGCTTACATAAGCATTACAAAGAATACTCGCTACAGTGACATTCCCTCTGTAGTGACAAAAACGCCCCAATTGGTGGAACCCCTTTTTTGTCACTGGAAAGGGACTTTACTCTGTATCTACACAGTAAAATCTTAATTCATTACGAAATGCACAGTACAGCACTTTCACCGCATTTACTGATTAAAATCAAAGAGAACACAATGCATTACCCGTACAGTACTCTAAAACAAACCACGTAAATGGAAGGAGATGCGCACGTAATACCTCCCTACTCCGTGTCACTGTCATCAAACAGTGCACGATGCGTGCCACTAGACATGCGAACGCGGCAGTTTTCTGTGTTTTCAACGTGTACACGGCGCCTCTTTCGCATCTGACTAGTTGATATGGCCCGTAGGCGATTACGTACACCAGTGCTGTGCTGCCCGTCCTCGAAGCGGAGAGGGCGGGCCCTGACACTCAGATTGGTCAACGTCAGGCACGCTTTGAACACGTGCTCGTACAATCCCTCTCCCCAGCGCCACTTATGAGAAAGTACAGTCCATAAACTGCACATTCTCCCAAAGTAGTTTTCTACTATGACACGATCAGAAGATACTTGGCGATTGTAGTCCACGTCGTCCAATGACAGCGTTGAACGTGCGAGGGTGCGCACCGGGTGCGCCACACGTAGATCTTCGGCTGCACCTTGATATCCCTTGTCCGCCAGTATGGCCCAGTAGTCATCCATAAATT